ACTTATGCTGGAAACATTGGTAGTAACTAGCTAAACCAAGAAAACTACACAACTTGGCCACTGTAGTCGGTGTAGGTCAGTTTTCCACCACAGCCACCTTCCTTAGATCCGTCTTCACACCCTTAGATGTCACAATATGGCTTAGATATTCCACCTCCGACTTTGCAAATTCACATTTTCTCTTCTTTGCATAAAGTTTGCTGTCTTAGAGTAACAAAAGAACCTTGCACAAATGCACCTTATGCTCCTCCATATTCTTGCTAAAAACAAGAATATCGTCCAAGAAAATCTCCACAAACTCATGAAGATAACGCCCAAATACCTCCATCATCAACCGAGTAAATGTGGTTGGTGCATTCATCAAACCAAATGGCATAACTATAAACTCAAAATGTCTGAAGCTTGTATTAAATGCCGTCTTGGAGATAGATGCATCATCTATTGCAATCTGATGATATCCACTCCTTAGATCAATCTTGGTAAACACTCGTGCTTCACCAAGCTTGTCTAGGATATCATCCACATGTAGCATTGGCATCTTATCCTTCACTGTCTTCTTGTTCAAAGCATGTAGTCAATACACATCCGCATTGAACTGTCCTTCTTTTTCACAAGCAAGACCAGAGCACCAAATGGGGACTTATTTGGCTGAATAAATCCAAACTCAAGTAACTCTTTGACTTGTCGTTGAACTTCTTGCTCCTCCACATAACTTAACTGAAATGGATGTCGGTAAATTGGCTGCATCCCTGGCTCCAATGTAATCCCATGCTCCACACCTCATAATGGAGGCAACCCATGAGGAAGTTCACATGGAAAAACATCAGAAAACTCGTCAAGTACATCTTGTACTACTGCTTCTTCCCCACACGTGCCTTGGGCCCCCAAGTCACAAACAAACAACAAGTAATTCGAAAGTGATTTTCCATTAGGATAAACCTACTTCAAAGATGTAGCAGAGAGCATAATAACTTGTGGTTGAATGCCCTCGCCAAACCACACATTGTAAGGAACCAACTCGCCAAGGTGTCGTAGGCTAAAGGAGCCCCGAAAGCATGACCAAAATGATAAAGAGTTCATCGGATGGGACCGAGTCTAACATCGAGTCCAAGACCGACTCTAAGACCGAGTTCGAAATAGAGTCCAAAATCGAGTCCGAGGCCAACTGGGAGACCGAGTTCAAGACCGAGTTTGAGACCGAGTTCAAGACGGAGTCCGAGATTCGAAATCAGGTCCAAGACCGAGTCCGAGGTTGAGTCCGAGGTCGGGTCCGAGATCGAGTCCGAGACCGAATCCGAAGTCAGATCTGAGATCGAGCCAGAGACTAAGTCCAAATACTAATACGGGTCACGGAGTGAAAGCCCAAAGCGTGCGTCTCCCGGGATGGGGGGTTG